TTGATATTTATTACTGAATTTATGTATGGTTCTTTTTTTTTTAATTATAAGATCACTTGAGTGCTCTTACAGCTCCACACAATTGTTTCAAGCATATTTGTACATGTTACCATCATTACTTTCTAAACACTATTTGAGCACTTGGTATCAGCTCCCCTTTCTTCCCACTCTTGTGACCCCTTGATAAATTATTATTTTCATACCTTACACCCACTGCTGTCTCCCTTCCTCCAGTTTCTGTTGCTCTTCCACTTGGGGTGGAATTGGGGAGGGATTGTGGTTATGTGTTGATCATTGTGATGGGTCCCCCTTCCTCCCCTTCTCTCCCCACCCTCACGCTACTCTCCTGGTATTGCTACTCCCATTTGTTCCTGAGGGGTTTATCTGACCTGGATTCCATGTGTCCTGAGCTCTTTATCTATACCAGTGTACATGCTCTGGTCTAGCCAGAACTGAAAGGCAGGACTGGGATCATGATAGCGGGGTGAGGAAGCATCCAGGAACCAGAAAAATATTGATTTTCATCGGTGCTATACTGCACCCTGGTTGACTCATCCCTTCTTGAGACCCTTTTGTGAGGGGATGTCCCATTGTCTACAGATAGGTTTTGGATCTCTGCTCCACCACCCCCACCCCACCCCAATTCTCAGTATGTTTTGCTTGTTTTGGGTCTTCTGATGCCTGTTATCTGATCTCATAGGCACCTCATGATCACACAGTGTGCTTGTTCCTTCTCTGCTAGATGGCTGCTTGTTTTAACTTCAAGCCTTTAAGACCCTGAACGCTGTTAATCTTTTGAAGGCAGGGCATCATCAGCTTTCTTCACCACATTTGCTCGTGCACCCATTTTGTCTTCAGCGATCATGCCAGGAGGGTGAGCATCAACAGAAAGCCAGGTTGTTGGAACAAACTGTTCTTGCGTTGAGGGACGACTTGAGCAGAGGCCCAACGTCCATCACTTCCTCAATGTACTGCCATATAAATATATGCACATTGGCCAATACCTCTATTTTTATGAATTAATTATATCTATACACATCTGTATTTATACCACTATCCATAGCTTTGCTTCCTAGATCTTTCCTGTTTCCTCCTGCCCCACCATCATACTCACCCTTCTTCTGCCTTAGTTATTTCTCTCAGCTAGATTGCTATTGCTCCAACACTCCCAGGATGTTATGTCCTCCTCGTTGTTGGTTTTAATTCCCTAGTTGTTCCCGTCTGTGGCATTGTTTGCTCACCGCTCCCTTCCCCCACCTCCCCTCCTCCTTCCCTCAAGTCCCGTTGCTTTCTCCTCAGGCTCGCTTCCCATGCCTATCTTATACAGGTAGGCAAACCAACAATAATGGAGACAAAACAAAAAGATTGAATAAAAAGAAAAATAATTTAAATAATAAGAATAACCTAGCCAACCCCCCAGAAAAAGCACAGACAATTCCAGGTCTGTTCGATGACCTCCATGACTATCTCCCTACCGGGGTTTTGTTTCTCTTGACCCTTGAGCTGTGATCCATGGCGAAAGCTGCAATCTGGATCCTCAACTTCAAGTCTGTCATGTTCCCCTCGCTTTTAGTAAGCAAGACTGCGTCATCCGCATATTGCAGGCTAACAATCCAATGCTGAAGCCACGTGCTTTTTTGTATAGCCTAACTTCTTTGATTATTTGCTCAGCAAACAGATTGAGTAAGTACGGTGAAAAAATCACCACCACCACCACCCCACCCCCAGGCACCTCTTGTCCAACTGTAAACCCTGCAGCACACCCTCACCTCATTCCTTCTCACGACTGCTTCTCGGTGCATGTACAAGTTCCGCAGGAGCACAATGAGGTGTTCTGGAATCCTCATTCTTCTCAGTGTTATCCATAGTTTGTTATATGAGTCACAACAAGTCGAATGCCTTTTCAGTCAGTAATAACCACAGGTAGGCTTTAATAGCCACAGGTAGGCTGTGCATGCATTTCTCTCAGGAGGAGCCACAACTTTCTCCACAGGGCTCATGTTCCAAAGACTGTCAAGAACCATTGCTTTGGAGCAGTGGCTCAAAGTGTAGTCCCCCAAACAAGCATCAGCGCTACCCAGAACAAGTTAGAAATTCTAGCCCTTTTCCAGACCTACTGAATCAGAAACTCTGGGCTTAGAGCCTGGCTCTCTGCATTTAACAATTCCCACAGGTGATGCCGATTTGACTCTAGAGTGAGTAACCAGGGCCTCCATCTACCAGTGTGTTGTTAATAAACACAGTCACATACCTGACTCCCACTCCGTATTCTTCCACCCATGACAAACACATAGTTGACAGCCTATGTTCCTACACACAGCATCCTCCACAGACCTCTCTGGAAGGCCTACCTATTAGGCAGTTTTCCTGCAGTTAATAGTCATTTGCCCTCCTGGCCAGGGGTTTTACCTAGCTGGTCCAATTGGAGTACTGGGTTAAGGACTTGCTCAATCAAGAACAACACTCCTCCCTGCTGTGGGCAAGGTCAAAATAAAGTCAGAACTCTCTCTCTGCAGAATGCTCTGTAGACAGCAAACATACCTACCTTTGCAGAAATTTTGGAGACTACATTTGATGTGTAACTCACTCAAATTTACTCAAATTTTACCCTGATCTGGGATCTCAACCTAATCCTGTAAACATAATGACATTAGCCTGTGTTTTTAAAGACATAATAACGTTAAGGTCTGAGTACTTTTAGGGAAAACAGTATGTATCTATTTATGAAATCAGATGGATGTGAAGAGGGGGGAAAAAAAGCAAAACTGACTGGCTACCCGACTCCTGCCTCTGGCAGGGCATATGAGCACTGGACCCAAGTTCCTTCAGGGTGAGGGATAGGTCAGATGAGCTCTCACGATCATCTTTTTCTGATGAACCGTTCTAGTTGGTCAAGATGACACCACCAATCAACTCAGTGGTGTTGCTTCTTCCATAGTGAGGACCTCTCTATAAGCATCCATGCCCACTTTATGTTCACACCTTTCTGGGGTTAGCCATACCCCGTGCTTCCTGCTATAAGTCACCTTTTCAGGTGGAGTGTCCTATTCCGCAGCTAGATATAAAGAAGAAATAGAGGGGACGATACGCAACTTGTGACAGGTTTACCACTCCTGAGTCTGGTGGGGGCAGGGAGGTACAGATGGGAACCTGGCTGCTCCTCAGTTCGCATACTCCCCATCGCCTTCTGAGGGATTCTGGGCCTTTCGGCCGTCTCCTCCTCCAGCACTCGGCCCCCACCTGCCCTGGTGGAGAGGGTCAATCCCTAGAGAGGTGACACCAGCTCCTTCACCTAACTGCTCTCTCTCGCTGCACCCCCTCCCTTCATGGCAGCTGTGAGGATGGGAACATGCACCCTCAGCGGTCTTGTACCTTGATCGCAACAGGGTAAACGGTGGCTCCAATCTCAAAACTTCCCTTTTTGAACATCATCACCGATGTATTATTAATGCAGGTTCCTAAAAAACAGCAGAGTGAAACAGCTATTACATTTCATCCTTTACTCCACAGATTAGGCATTCCACAAGGACTAAATATACTTAAGATTCCTCTCGGGCAGTGGTCCTCAACCTTCCTCATGCCGAGACCCTTTCATACAGCTCCTCATGTGGTGGTGACCCCCAACCATAACATTATTTTCATTGCTACTTCATCACTGTAATGTTGCTACTGTTATGAATCGGGTGATCCCTGTGAAAGGGTTGTTTGGCCCCCAAAGGGGTCATGACCCACAGGTTGAGAACCGCTGCTCTAGGGACTCTTCACCTCAGGTAAAGCCATCATTTTCAAACTTGTGAAAGAACACGGAAAAGAGTGAGGCGGAACTCGATCGCTTTCTGTTCTCCTTTTGCAGGAGAGCGTTTTCCATAGTCAACACTCATCGGCCTTGGTTAAATCCAGAGCTCAATGGACATGGGATGTCGCATGGAGAACTCTACAGGAAGCTAAAGGGCCCAGTTGAAGATATTAGAGAAGGGCTATTTCTGCCATGCTTCCACTCACCGTGGAGTCCTGGGTGGCACAGTTGATCACACACGAGGTTCCTCAGTAAAAGTCTTTGGTTCAGACCCTTCCCCACACCAGAGATACCTCAGGAGAAAGGCTTGGCGATCTACTCCCGAAAAACCAGCCACTGGAAACCCCACGGAGCTCCGTTGTCAGACGGAATGGGAATCGACTCAAAGGCCATGTTCGCGGCCATTCTTTGTTTTCTAAAGTTTACTCTATAGCACTCTTAAGTTGAAGGTTTTAGTTCAAAAACGAATTTAAAGGAGACCTGAAATTATTCACTGATGATAAATAAGCCTAACAAGGGTCGGGCGACCTGGATCCTAAAGTCACCCCACAGGCACACCCCTGCATGGTTTCCACAGAGCGTTCTTTGTGGTGCTCAGCCCTTACCTTCTGGGAAAATGAGGATAGGCAGCTTGCTTTTATCCTGCACATGCTCAGTCAGCCTTCGGAAGAGAAAAGGAGACCAGGGTTAGACAGCACTATACTGTATCCATCGTTACAAAATACATCCCTAAGCAACCTAGTCATTGGATGGGACACTAGTTGATAGGTTGTATCAGTCAAGTACAAAGGGATTAACCTATCCTTTATAACCCAGGACTCAGAAAGACACACCTTATAAACAGAGGGAGGGAAAGGCAGATCGCCACTATTAAAGTCACACAATTTAAGGAATACATACTAAAAGTCTGTAGTGGAGGATACTGTTCACTTGGGAAAATCATAAACAGAACGTGGCCTTGGTACACTGCACCCTTAGTAAGTGTCTGTCACCTGACTGCCCAGCAGCCTTGCCGGGTGAGCCTGTCACAGCCCACCAGCTGCAGCACCACGAAGGATCCGAGAGACACCCAACGGGGTGTCGGTGGAGGAACCGTGGATCCTGTGCAGTGGAAGCTGGTCCTCCTGGAGCCTCACGTCTCTTGCATAGCTTGTTCCTTAACATGCATTAGATTTATCTTTCTTTTTTTTTTTTTAATTTGAAAACAATTTTGCTCCACTGCCTTGCCTTGTTTTTATTTGAGATACTAATTCATTTTGAGATTTCAAATAGCATTAAAAGTTTCTATTTTATGATGTGAGGACAAAAAATTCAAAATACTTAAAAACATGAACTCAGTAACTCATGCTAAGACATCTATATTTTAATAGTCTTTGTTTTAGAACATGTTTTTATTTGAAAGCAGTATACGTGTGGTGTAGACAACACCAAGAAAGTGCCAAAAACAAAACAAAATTTACCTGTCATCCCACTGTGGGGGAATAACTACCCATAAATGTTCTCTTTTGCAGACTTTTTATGTAACTAACTGTTCTCAACCTGTGGGTCGGGACCCCCTTTGGAGGACAAACGACCCTTTCACAGAGTCGTTCCTAACAGTAGCAAAATTAGTTATGAAGTAGCAACGAAAATAATTTTATGGTTTTTTTGGGGGCCGGGGGTGGGGTGGGGGGTGTCACCAAAACATGAGGAACTGTATTAAAGGGTCAGGGCATTAGGAAAGTTGAGAACCACTAACAGATCACAGGAAAAAAGGGCATCTTGTCAGATTTACCTCTTAGCCACCAGGTGGCGATCTTTAACTTCAGAGCGCTCAAACCAGACGTGCGGACAGGCCTTCACCATGGCTCTCTGAATCACACCCAAGAGTCCTCCGTGCACTTGACCCACCTAAGCCCAGACACAAAACCAATGAGTAGGAAAGCAAGACTCACAAATCATTCCTCCCACTCCTGGGGAAGAAACTCTAAGTCCAAGATAAATCCCTCAACCTCTTACCATTTAACATTTACTGCTAATCGCGGGTTTCTATTACTCTTAGAGCCTTAAATGTCACCTTTTAACCGGTGATACCAGAGATGTGTAATTAAAAACATACATGAAACCCCTAAAACAGTAATCAAGTGGAGTGACACAAAGTGCACTTCTTTGTGCCCCTGTCAAGTCTTTCTATCCCTAACCTTCACCCCTTTCCATGGTCACCCGAGGACCCACAGTATGCTCTCCAACCAGACTCCAGGGACACAGGGCTACTTCTGTGCAGTGTATTTCCTACCAAAGCTGCATGGAGATCCCCAGAGCAACAGGAACCACGCTGGTCCATGTAAGGTATTGGGGGGGGGGGAGGGGGAGCGGGGCATGTGTAGAAAGCATGTCTATGGGTTGGCACCTTCAGAAAGCACTCTGGGAGGAAGGGGTCAGAAGCTCATACGCTGATAGGTCTAGAGTACTAAGTTTTGCCACAAGAAAACAAAAAGATGATCACTTACCATGGCATAGTAACCATCACTGGCCAAAATGATCACATCAATAGGAGAGGTATGATTGGCCACACAGAGGCCACCATTTCTAGGTCTGTTTTTCCTGGGTTTAAAAAAAAAGCAGGCAAAGTAACACAAGTTAGAGAGTGAAACAATTTATTTCGATCTCATCCCCCACACCTTCCCCGTCACACACTTTATCAGGTCCAACGAAGAGCTCCAAAAAACAGCCCCATTTGGCAAGCTGTCAGTACATGTCCGGTCAAGTGGCGGACTCACCTGTCATGGTAGGTGATGATGGCAGTCAGTGCTCGCACACAGATCCGGTAACACATCAGGTGCACATGTTTACTTAAGAACTCCTTAAACCTGCCACAACAAGATGCAGAGTTTTTGTTTTGCTTTATATTTAGGATGACAGGAAAATGTGCTGACCCCAACAATTCAATTATTGCTACCCGTAGTCTTAGAAACCCCTAGGGGCAGTTCTACCCTGTTCTACAGGGTCATTGCTATGAGTCAGCATCAACCAACACTATGGTAGTGAGAGTTTTGCTTTATATTCCTTTATGAGGAGCACTGGTGGTATAGTGGTTACATGTTGGACTGCTAACTGCAAGGTCAGCAGTTTGAAACCACCAACCAATTCTAGGGAGAAAGACAGGGCTTTCTACTCCTATAAAGACTTATACTCTCAGAAACTCACGGGGGCAGTTCTGCCCTGTCCTCTAGGGTTGCTATGAGTTGGACTCTTCTTAATGGCAGTGAGTGAATGATATCCTTTATGACTGCACAATGCTTCGGTAAGTATTAGTGTATGTGGTAAAATCCTATAAAGTACTAACACCTTCAGGTTTACAGACAAGGAAACAAAGGATGATGAGATTTGTTTAAATCCATCTTAGTGGTTTCAAATTCCACAGCACCAGAATAGGCTCCAGCACAGGTGAACCAGGATGTCTCTTGGATTTCTTTCCTTCTCAGTCAATACCTGGGCTGGGGTAAAGGTTAGAATCTCACTGCCTCACCAGCCTGGGCAGAAGAAAGGTCAGCTAAGCCCCAGAATGTCCAATGAGGGGCAGATTTAAAAAAAAGAATCATTTTATTGGGGGCTGTATAACTCTCATCACAATCCATACATCCATTGTGTCAAGCACATTTGTACATTTGTTGCCATCATCATTCTGAAAACATTTTCTTTCTACTCAAGCCCTTGGTATCAGCTCATTTTTCCCCTTTCTCCCCACATCCCCCCCCACAAGCCCTTGATAATTTATAAAATATTATTTTGTCATGTCTTACACTGTCTGACATCTCGCTTCACCCACTTTTCTGTTGTCCGTCCCCCAGGAAAGGGGTTATATGGAGATTCTTGTAATCGGTTCCCCCTTTCTACCCCACATTCCCTTCACCCTCCAGGCATCGCCCCTCTCACCACTGGTCCTGAAGGAGTCATCTATCCTGGAATCCCTGTGTTTCCAGTTGCTATCTGTACCAATGTACCTCCTCAAGCCAGATTTGTAAGGTAGAATTACGATCATGATAGTGGGGGGGAGGAAGCATTTAAGAACTAGAGGAAAGTTATATGTTTCATTGTTGCTACCTTGCACCCTGATTAACTCGGCTCCTCCCCACAACCCTTCAGTAAGGGGGGGTTCAGTTGCCTACCGATGGACCTTGAGTCTCCACTCTGCACTCATCCACCTTTACAATGATATGATTTTTTGTTCTTTGATGTTTGATACCTGATCCCTTCGACAGCTCGTGGTCACACATGCTGGTGTGTTTCTTCCATGTGGGCTTTGTTGCGTCTGAGCTATCAAAAGATATAGCGTCTGCAGTCGTAAAGGCTTGAAGATCAACAAGCGGCCGGCCATCCAGCTGAGAAGCATCAAAGCCCACATGGAAAAAGCACACCAGCCTGTCTGACCACGAGGTGCAGAAGGGACCAGTTATCAGATATCAAAGAACTAAAAATCAAATCAGTGGGTGTCCATCTTCCTGATATGATCACTGAAGACAAACGTGTGCATAAGCAAAGGTGGTAAAGAAAGCTGATGGTGCCCGGTTATCAAAAGATATAGCATCTGGGGTCTTAAAGGCTTGAAGATAAACAAGCAGCCAACTAGCTCAGAAGCAACAAAGCCCACATGGAAGAAGCACACCAGCATGTGCAGGGGCAGATTTTTATGCTAAAAAAAATTCCTCCTGTGGTTCTAATCACTTTTTCCAATCTTTTCCCTCTTTCTAATTTATCTATCAGCACAGCTGCTGCCATCTTGGCCCAATTCCGTGGAAGCCTGTGCGGTACAGAGCAGACTCGTCCTATAGCACATCCTTGGCTGCGGTCTTAACAGAAACAGCTGGCCACGGCTTTGTTCCATAGAGCAACCAACTGGCTTCAAACTGCCGACCTCCAGGTTAGCAGTCGAGTGCAACCACATAGGCCTGTCAGAATGCTCAAACCTAAACACCCTGCTGAAAAATCTACCAACATCTGAGTCCTAAACATTTTTTTTTTTCATTTTCTCCCTTTTGCCTTTACAATAGAAAGTGTATGAGGGGGGCAGGGCTAAAAGACCACAGGTACAGATGAAGATCAATAGCAATTGAACGCTGACGCTGTCATAGGTTGGATTTGGTTGGATCCAGAGAAGTTGTCTAACCCAGCAGGCCCACACCAGTCCTTTAGCCACAGACCCCAGAGCTCTACTCACCTCCCACTTGGCAAGTATCCTACCATGGTTGTGCCCACCACTAGGAGGCTAATTCCCGTGAAAGCCAGAGCGATCCTGTAAGAAGACAACAGGTTAGATGGCAGCAAACACACCCCAGTAACAAGAAGAGAACTTGATGTGTTAAAAAGAGAGTGGGCATTACAAAAGCCGCCCCCAAGATCTTATTATGAGGTTAGTTCTGGACAGGTTTCACCAGGACACGAAGGCAAGTCTTTCAAACCCACACTGTGTTTTCATTTCAAACTAGATAGTGAGCTTTGGCTTTTGGCTGACTCCATCACATCAGGCTGCAGGCTGCCAAGAATGATGGCAATCCCCCTCCCTGGGCACCTGCTGTCTGCTGCCTACCTCACTCCCCCCGCCCCCCCTTGGCATTCAAGGCCAGCAGGAGCCCAGCTTCTGTTTGAAGCAACAGGAGGGGGAGCCTGAAGGTACCAGTGTCCGGCAAGATGTGCTCAGAACAGGAAAATGGAGATGGGTATTGCCGCTGCGCATGAGAGGCAGGAAAGAATGAGCCATGCCAGGGAAGAGTAGCCAGAAAGTACATGATGTTCTCTGTCCCTGTGTTTACTTCACTCCGATAAGCCACGTATCTTCATGAAACTATCTGATATGCACAGACTCAAGTGGCTTTAAAGGGCAATAAATAACCTCTTCTGGGAGGCAGTGAGACTAGCCAGGGAAAAGATCCCAACTGGCGCTCTTTCTAAAATGGGAACGCCAAGCAGAGGAAGTGAGGTGGCACAGGAGGCCTAGGCGGCACAGCCTGAGCCATTTCTTCCATCAGCCCCTGTCCTCACCTGAGTGGCAGCAGGAAGCAATACCGGATCAGCACTCCTAGCCCCCATAAGACAGTGAGCCGCAAGCTGATGTACTGGAAGTTATAATTGGTTCTGCTCAGCAGGTTCCAGGACTCCAACTCCTCTGCTGAGAATCTCTTTGTCACCTCATCATCCATAATGGTCTCCATTCCTTTCCGGCAAAAGTAGAAAATGTCAGAGAGCTCAAACTCTGGAGTGTTATCCAGAGCTTTACTACTCCCACTCCGGCGGATTTCTTTGATCTCTTCTTCCAGTGAAGTGGGATCTTTTGCTATGATTCCTGCAAAAAGGAACATCCCATCAGGCAGCACGCTAGGAAAGAGTGTTAGGCAGGCTCCAAGTGGACACCCTCCCTTTTCTATCGTGAACAGTGTGTGTGGCATTTGAAGGACCAGGACTGCATTTGAAAGGGAACTTTCAGGATGAGAATCAAGGCCCAGTCTTACCGTTGGTATAGGGCTTGTAGAGTTGGTGGTTCTTCTCCTTGGCTCCTCTCTCCATCCTCAAGGTGGCCCACTAGGGAGGAAAGAGAACACACAGCAAGAGTAAGAGCCTTTTTTGTTCCATAAAAGCCTCCCCGTTCAGGCTGGGAAAGCCTGGCCTAGTCAGATCCTATCAAATTGTAGCCAGGAGAGCAGACATTCTAAAAAGGGACCCCAGCCCTCCTCCCCCCAGACAACTAGGACAAAGGTTAGCAGTCACCTATGGCAAACAGGTTGCAGACTCAGTCAGGGTAAGTTTCTCAGGCCACGCCTCCTCACTTCTGAAACTCTCAATTTCTAGGCCCCTTTAAGGAACTCACTAGCTCACAAACCTCACAATTCCTTCTTTATTGCCTAACGGAAGCTGTTCACAAACAGCAAAATCAAGCATCTGCCTACAACCCAATGAGGTCAACGTTTTAAAAACTGAGAAAGCAACAATTTGCAAGTAGAAAAAAAGACGGAAGCATGTTTACGGATGGATGGGTTGTCCATTTGCCCCGGAATGTCCTTTCATCAGAGAACTCCATAGATAACGGACTAGAGCAGTGGTCCCCAACCTTCCGAACACCTCAGCCCTTTCATGCAGTTCCTCATCTTGTGGTGACCCCAAATCATACAATTATTTTCGTTGCTACTGCCTAACTATAATTTTGCTAGTTATGAACCGTAATGTAAATATCTGATATGCTGGATATATTTTCATTTTTAAAATTGAGCATAAACATAATTAAAGCATAGTGATTAATCACAAAACAATATGTAATTATATATTGTGAAATATATGTTTTCCAATGGTCTTAGGCAGCCTCTGTGAAAGGGTTATTTGACCCCCAAAGGGGTCTCGACCCACAGGTTGAGAACCGCTGGTCTAGAGCCAGCTTGTTGATGTCGAGTTGATGCTGACCAGTCACCCCATGTATCAGAGTAGAACTGTTCCAAGACTGTGACCTTCCAGAAGCAGATCGACAGGCCTGCCTTCACCTCTGGGTGGGGGTTTGAACCTCCAGCCTTCTGGCTAGTTGAGAGCTTAACCACTGGTGTCACCCATGACTACCTGAGAGGAGCCTTTGAAATGAAGCAGTATTTAGAGATGAAAAACATCCAAGTCCAAATCTCAAGCTTAACTCTCACCCTGGTAGCACTTCAAGGTCAAGAGTTCAAAACCACTCACCACTCCACAGGAGAAAGATGAGGCTTCCTACTCCCAGAAAGAGTTACAGGTTATAGTCTTAGAAACCCAGGGGGCAGCTCCACTTTGTCCTACAGGATCACTATGAGTCAGAATTGATTCGATGGCTGTGAGTTTTTAGTGAGGAATGTCCCATAAGCAACTAACTCATTGCCAAACCGGAAGTCTTTGAGCTATATATGATAGGATTTGGGAAAGTTGTACAGTACTCTGGCTGTCCTTATGATTACTTAAATGTATAGACTCTCAAAGTGAGGAAAGATCTAGAAAAAAGAAATTTCTAGGGCCTTTCTTCCACTATTAAAATCCTTTCAATTGTAGTGGGGAAAAAAGCAGACTTTGGGGTCTCCCCCACTGCAACATAATAAGGGGAAAACATGAGCTCATTCATTCCTTTATGTTGAAATATTTAATCACCAAATGGGAAGCTATATCCATCAGAAAGCACAGTACATGGGTTTTGTCGGTATTTTCATCCTTTGGGGAAGTTGATGGACATCCAGAACGATGAGGTTTGTCATCAATCGACATTTCACCTTTTTGAAATGAGAAAACCACTCATACACTTGAGTTTTCCCATAGCGCTCTCCTTGTAAGCTGTGTTCAACATCCCGACAGTTTCTATGGCATTTTCCCAAGCAGGAAACAAAATTTCTCTTAAATTGGCAATCACAAAAAATGAGGTATGAGGTCCAAGTGAAACTGCTTTTACGAAAAATTTCAGAGACCAGAGAACCTTCCCAGGCGATGCGACTGGGTGCACTAACTCAGAGTGTTGCTTAATGCTGGCGTAGCAGGAAAAATACGTACTATGAAAGTTTTGCCCAGCAGAGCGTTTTTCCATTTTTTGGGAGGCACCCCCTCATATACAGCAGAGCTTGTACAATTCAGTGACTTATATTCTTCAAGTTCTACAACCATTAGGTTACTACTTAATGTCTCAAGAATTGCTGTTATTATTTGATCCTCCAAGACAATTTTTGTGAGAATATTCAAGGCACTTCTTTTTAGACCAGTTGCACTACAAGAATTCTTGGCTTTAAGAAAACATGTCAATGGTTACTTTTGGCTTAAGGTTTAAAGATCATCTTGGGGCAATAATTTCAAGGGTTCAGCTAACCTTCATGGTCCAGAAAGTCTAGAGTCCAAATAAACAAATCCTGTTTTGCATTTTTGCATTTTTCGCCAGCAGCTCTGATCTCATGTTCATTCCATATCCTCCCATTGCTTCCTTTGTTGTTTTAGGTGAATAGGGGCAAGTGCTGTGCTTCGGAGAGCCAAGTGCGAGTTTTAAGACTCCAGACACTATGCAACATGCCAGGAATTGGAGCAGAAGCACTAAACATTATCAGACTAATTACCTGGGATGTCCCACGAAACCATGACCCTAAGCCTCCAAACTAAGGAACCAGGTCCCATGCAGTGTTGGACTGCACATGAGCAGCCTCATTGGCTACTCTTTTTCCTTCTTTGGTCATTGCTATAAATTTATCACACCACTTGCCATCTTACAGGTGTATAACTTATTGGCAGCAACTACAGGAAGAGGCAGTGCAATGTTACCCTTAAGCGACTGAAGCTCTTTGCATAACAAATGATCTTTCAAGAAGATGAGAGAATGTAAATATGGCACCGACAACAGAGGAAAGTGAAGTCAATCTGATTTCCTGGCTTAAGCAAGAGGCGAATAAAGGCAAGTTTACAAGCCCAGAATTCAGACACAAGCCACTCAACCAGCATCTAGAGCAGCGGTTCTCAACCTGTGGGTCGAGACCTCTTTGGGGGCGT